TTATTAATGAATCCAATGTATCAAATAACAGATTTGTCATTTAAAGCTAATATATATATAAAGATGGGTATTCATCTTTTATCACCAGTGCTCCTTTAACTCACATCCATGTCCACAGGAGTTTTGTGTGCTGTTGTTTTCAGTCTCCGACATTTCCTTTATGTTTCCATAGGCATTAACATTTTGTGTTTCTTCCTTTCTACATAATAATTCGCCCCCACTTTTTTTTCCCCTTGAATTCTGGATCACTATCTTCTGCTCCTTTCTGGGTACCACTTTCTTGGTGTAACTGTAGGAAAAAATGGTGAGGGCAGGGAACTTCAGGACAAGACCTAAGTCTTCCCTTTTTAGGTCTCCTGGCAACTCACTAAATGTCTTCTGCTGTAGAGTTGCCATCTGTAAAAATTAGGGTAATGTTACATTTACCTCAGGGGTGGTATATTCTTTCCTCAATATGGGGAAAGAATGTGAGAACTTAGTGCTGCTGTTTAATACCAGCCTTCTTCTTTGCATGACCAGACAATACTCAAAAGGCTGGGGAACCACCTCATGCAGTCCTTAGCCCTCTTCTTTCTTATGAGTCTTCTTCATTCATTCTTTTTTTCATTCTTTAATGGTTTCCAATGGACCAGTTACAACACAACCTTCTGGCTTTTGCTTTAATGTTGGACAAGACGGGCACGGAAAGAAGAACTGTTGATATTTATCGTCCAGGGTTGAGTCACGAGAGGCTCAATAGTGATTGTACAGTTCCCCCAGTGTTCACAAAGTTGACTTTTCTATGCTTCTTTTCAGGAGCCTTCTCACAGTTTGGAGGGCAACAGTATACGAGAGAAGTGTACAACTTCCCCACTGAATACAGCACTAAAACCAGCCTCACCCACTCCTCTCTGGATCCGCATTTCACAGGTAAGGGCTTTCTCTCTGCAACTTCTTGGTCACTAGAGACCAAATTAGAAGACAGAGTCACATTCATTGGTGTGGCCCAGCGGCAAGGAAAGAAGCTGAGGTAGTGAAGGCCTACAGCACAACTCTGGATATCCAGGTCTCGTTGGGCTATCTCTGCACACTTCCCAATCTCCCCTCAGGGAGGGGTGGGAAGTCTCTTGGAAGGTTCTTCAAAGCTGATCAGTTCTGTGGGCAAACATCAAATGGGATAACAAGAGGCGGTGAGAATTTTAAGGATTTTTATCTCATTTCCCCTTTCCTGCCCCACAACCATATCTTAGGAGTGAGTTGAGAGTCCGAATTAAACCCACAAACCTTCATCCTCACTGAGGCCCTGTAGTGCTCAGCAGTTCCTGCTGTACCTCCCCTTCCCAGAGGTGTTGTGTGGATGCTGGCCTGAAATGGTCCATGATTGCATTTCCCATATGCAGAACAGGGACTGGCATTACCTGTATAACAAGTCAGGAAAAGAACTTGTGAGCTAAAGCCATGATGCACCCTGCAACTACATACATAAAAGTCTGACACGATATATCTGGGACCAAACCCAGGCTGCATCTCCCTGATGGCTATCCTACCAACTGCTGACCTGCTCCTCTTGTTGCAGATGGCATGCTGATGACCTCCCAGCGGGTAGAGAGCAACAGCAGCACCCTCACCCAGCAGGTCACCAAAGAGTTCGTCAGCAGGACCATGATGTCCAGTGGAACGCTCACCAAACAGATGGAGAGGCAGTTCTACGAAGCCTGAGCTGGGGAGAGGCTGCCGAAAGGACGTCTCCATTCAGACTGCAGAACTTATCAGGCAGACCTATTGTTTGGTCAGCTTCCAGACTGTGCCAGAGAGCCTGCCACATCTCTCCTGGCATAAAACTACCACGACACTTGTCAAGCCAGTCTTTCTTTTGCAGCTTGCTATGGTCAAGGGCACAGCCCAGTTCGCAGTTGGGGTGGCAGGGGTCTTGATGCCCATTCAGAGCTCTCCTGGGTGGCCTTGGGTCTTTACTGAAGATTTTGACATTGGTGACTTCTCACTGCTGGGCCATTGCCCAGCCATTTTGGAGTTCAGTGTATAATCCTTGCCTGCTGATATAGGTCTTTGGGTGCATGTTACCTACAAGCTCTGATGTTCCTGGAATTTTGGCTGCACTGGGTTTTGGTTTGCATTGAAATGTCCACATTTGCTCTACCCTGCACATCACTTTTGACTTCCTCACCTTTCCAACTGCTTCATCTATTAATTTCACCCCTGGGAAACAACTCCCCAAGAAGACAACTTCATGATCGTCCAGAAATGTTTAAAGTTCTGTTTTTTTATAAGTGTGTGTTGCCAGGTAGAAGGTGAGGGTAACCTACTCATTCCCACCACACCTGTTTTTGTAAAGCCCCTTGCTGCTAATGTGTGGTACTGCAATAACAAATTATAGCCTTGAGTTGTATAGCATTACCTGCAATGCTCTAATTCAGTGTTGCTTACACTATTGTACAGTTTTCCTAGTATATATATTTATAAATGTATTTTATTATTTTATAAAGAAACCTAGGTAGATGAGATCTACACAGGTCAGGACATAAGAGGACTCTGGCTTTTGGGAGTCATTAGCAAGTTCAGCAGATAAGTTAAAGGACCAAGCCAGAGGCCATTAAACCTGATGGAAAGCCTCCCAGTAATTTAAGTGAGCTTTAGATCAGTCCCTACATCCCTCAGCACTGACTCCTATGATACAGGGGCCCAACTTCTTGGAGCGTCTCAGCCAGATGTGTCTACAGGCTGCATAGCAAGAAACAGCAGTCTCAGTGTAGCTCCAGTGTACTGTGGGTAAAAGCCAGGAGCAGCCAGGAAGGGAAGATTAGCGCTTCAGGTCCCATGGCATGCTCTGAAAGGAGACAACAGAAGTAATGTTTTTGCTGCAAACCCAAGACCAGGATTCCCTGCTGATTCTATCGTTCACAAGTGGAGCTTAGCCCAGGTAGGGTGTGACTTTCAAAAGGCATTTGTACCCCACAGAAATGCCCTTTGTGGAATATAAGATTCCATTATCAACCAGGAAGCACAAGGTGATGGAAGACAGAGCGAGCTGTTAGCCTCCTTCTCTTAGTCCATCCCCATTTTGGGACTGGAGCGTCTCTTTCCCATTCAAGTTGAAGCATTTGCCTGTCTCGGCCAGTTTGTTTCTGTGGACCAACCATTCCCAGACTTTATCTGTACCTGGCCAGAGCTTGGTGGCCAGGATGCAGCCCTGTGCACTAGGTCAATTCTGCTAACTGCTATCAAATGCTGGGAGCAGCTGCACCTCTGAGCATCCTCCAGGGGTTTATACCGCCTCTTTTCTTAAGGTGCAGCTCTTTCTGTTGGAGTCATGGAATAGTAGTTCTGGCCAGAAGGCATGGTACTTAATGATAGGGCTTGTACTCTCCGCTTTAACCCAGTTGACAGCAGCACCCTGAGCTCAGCATCCACACTTCTGAATTGGGATGGTGATGACGACACATACTAGGGTCCTTGTGCTAAGTGCATACGGTGGAGATTTTCAAAGGGACGAACGACAGAGGGAATTGAGTTCCTGACTTCTGTTTGTGCTTTTGAAAATCTTCCCCCAAACCTCTATGAATCACCACATGAGGTTAACTGGCTGCGCAAGAGCAGGAGGCAGCCATGGTCTGATGGAGCGAGCTCTGCACTGGAAAGAGTAAGCCAGTTCCTGGGCTCTATCCCTGGTTGTGCTACTGATCCCTTCCCTGACTTGGGCAAGAGGCTCAGCCTTGGGGTGCTTTCTGTCAAGTGGCGACAAGAGGACGCAGTGTTGTAAAAGATTTTGGAGCAGTCTTCCAGTGAGATGGGCTATGGACTGGCTCAAGTTGGCTCAACCCCTTGCTCTCTAACGGAGCAGCATTGGGCTGGAACTCAGCTGCTTGTGCCTTCCTAAGCCAAACCTCTGCAACCAAAGCATAAACTGACTTTAGGCCCCAGGGGCAGCTCTTGGGAGAAGTGGGGTTTATCTATGAACTCCTTAAACACTCCTTTGCACCAGAGTAGTTTATAAATACCGGCCACTTTTAGAGCTCAGTTCTGTCCTCCCGATTTCAATGGGAATTTGTCCATTAATTTTTAGTATGAATGAGATCTGTGCACCTGATTAAGACGTACATTCATGTTGTCCTGCACAACCCTACAGCTTTGGTGGGAGTTGGATCTACTTCAGTTTGATTTAAAACACAAGAAGCCCAGTCTGGTAGAGGTTAAAGCAGACATGGTTTTCCACTACCTGGAAGAAAGTTACCAAACAAACACCCAGTTGTCATCTGCCTTAATTTTCAGTTCCTGTTTTCCATGTTTCTTTATAACTGGGGTTATTTTACCTGCATGGATAGTGGTAAGAAAGTATCAGTTGACGTGGTTCTTCTCCACCTGAATGCTAGTCCTTTTTTCTGCGTTCTGTACTGCAGATGTCCCTTACACCTTGATTCACAACCTCAAGAGGGAACCCTGATAGCAGTTTTAACCAAAGAGCTTGTTATACTGTCTGGAGCAGAATGCAGCATGTTGGCTGGTCCTGATCCTGGCAGTCTTGCCCTAAAAACCGGGTTGTATGCCTCTTCTAACAGGCATACCGGGCTAGAACACAAGCGTAGAATACAGCTGAATTCAGCTCTATCCAAGGCAACAGTCTGACAGCAGGTGTTCTGGACCAGATGGCTTTGTATTGCACTTAATAAACATTTCTCTATAGTTTGGCTGCCCTTCTTATTTAAAGCAACTGGTGAAGACTAGCACCTGTGCCACTTGCCAAGGGATACATTACAGGGGCAAGAGCATATGGGCTCAGAGCATAACCACAACCCCTTCTCTCAAAACATACTGGCATAGGGCACTTGATATTGCCTTTAGCGTTACACTTGCATAGCCTGCCTGAGAGCAATATAACCAAGCAAAGATCTAGATTTCCTTGCCTCACATACACGTCCCATTTACATTAGGGTAACAAAGCTCAGAACGTTACTGGGTTAGACAGGCAACAGGACTGTTGTGCAAAATATAATTTTATTGCCCGAGCAATGCACCTCTGTACATTCCCCTTAGTTTCATGAGGTAGTAAAGGAGTTTCACTGGATCTCTTCAAGGAGGGACAGGAAGAGGAGCTGGCACGTTAATGAGCATCTGGTCCTCAACCACATCAGAGAAAGGGATCCCCCTTGTGGAAGAGGTTGTTCTTCTACAGAGGCTGCACCTTGGCCCCATCTGAAGGTTTTGTAAAGTAGAAGGTTGCTCTGCCACTGTATTTCTCCTAGGAGACAAAAGGGGAGTTAAGGATGGTCAGAATCTATGGGCTACAGCCATGGGCTACACCAGCAGAACACACTCGTGACAGATGCTGCTGCACTGAGCAGTACTGATCCAAGACCCCAGGCTATTTCACGTACACCTCTGTAGCGGTGGTGACCAAGATGAGCAACACTGAAATAGCATGCCCTAGGGCCCAAAGGTCCAAGCCTGTCAGGAAGAAAGCTCACCCTCTGTGGTGCTTTGTTTTCACACTCCTAGGGTCCTTTGTGATGACTCCTCTCTCATCACTCCCCATACACAGCTCTGACTGGAAGGCTAGGAGTGGGTGGGAGCAACCTCTTCCAGTTGCCCAGCCCTGGGCTCAACCCTCCTTGCCTCATCCTTCATGCCCAAGTGAGGTGGGTGTAGGATGAGCATTCTCCACTCTTGCTGGTGCAGTTGGGTCCAAGCAGCAAGAGGGGGATGGGTCAGAAGAGAGGCCTCCATCATGGAAAGGCCAGGCAGCTGCAACATACCTTGATGTGCTGCACAGCTTTCTCCGTGGCTCCTGCCTCCAGCAGAGTGACTGTGCAGCCTCCAAAGCCACCACCTGTCATCCTGCTGCCGTAAACCCCGCTGACCTCCATCGCTGCAGCAACGAGCTGATCCAGCTCTGGGCAGCTGACCTCGTAGTCATCCCTGGGAAACCAGATCCAGTCAGGCAGGCTGGCAGAGCCAACTGTTCTAGGGAGCGACTATCCAAACACGCCCATTACTTTGGCAACCAGCTACAGGGCAAGATGAACCGGAGTCCTCCAAGGATCCAACTCAAGGAACATTTCAAGAGTACACTGCAGGCCTAGCCCTAGAATCACTAGTCTAAGTGGAGAGGGTACAGCCCCCCTGCCAGAGCTGGCCTTGGAGTTCTTCTCTCTAATGGGACGCTACTGGGTAACGGTCATCAGGCAGCAACTCCCTACTGGTGCAGACTGGTGATATGAGCAGACTGCCTACAGAAGTTGTGGACTCTCCATCACGGGAGGTGTTCAAGAAGAGGCTGGACAGCCACTAGTCAGAGACGATCTAAGCATAGCTATGCCTATGTTCTACTATGGGTATTTCCCAGGTTTCTGGGCTTTGCTGGTTGCCCACTCCCCCTTTCTGATACATGCATCAGGGTGATTTTAAAGCTTTCCTCAGAGGCACTGAGTGTTGGCTACAACTAAGGCTGGGGACTTAGACTGGATTGTGCCAATGCTCTTGCTGGGACTAAAGCCAGAGGTTCCTGGCTGAAGGGGCTTGCCTTCCTCTGTAGAAGGGGGCATGGCCCTCTGCTAGGGATCTTGAATATATATTAACAATCTTTTTATAGGAGCAAGATATTGGCTGCTGTGGTTCCCCTGCTTTATCTGCGGCAGGTTCAGGTGTTACGTCTTGCACTGCATCAGGGCTTACAGGAGTTTGTTTTTTTTTGGTTTTTTTTTTTTTTTTTTAATAAAGAGTTTATATAGGATGGTTTGGATAGGGATAATCCTGCCTCAGGCAGGTGGTTGGACTAGACGAGCTCTGGAGGTCCCTTCCAGCCCAACTTGTCTAGGATTCTCCGATACCAGAGCAACAAGCGCTTCTGGGGAATTCCTCTGGGCTGCTGATCCGTGAAGCCTGTGCTTTCCTGTCACAAGCTGTTTGCCAACAGGCACACCAAGCCACGGCACCAACTGAACAGGGCACTGCTGTGGACATGGTGCCCTGAGGTTTAAGCTCCTGCAGTTCCTCATCCTCAAGCCCTGCCAAGCACCTTCTGCCTGGACAGGAGTGTGACTGCCCGGTGCAACCAGCCATGCCCCTACCTGAGAGAGTTGTGACTCTCCACCATCAGCCTCCCGAACGTGCTGTAGTCCCTGGCTTGCAGCACACGGGCGGCCTGGGCAGTGCGCTCGATTTCCCCAATGACATGCCTCGCTCGCCTGTACACCTCCTCGTTCAGCAGGCGCTTCGCAGCTGGAGAGATGAGACCTGACTGAGAAGCTGCTGGAGCCTCCCAGTGTCACCCACCGGCAACCTAGGTGCCTCGATGCGGATTGCGTGTCAAATGTGAAACAAGATCCCTGCCCCTGTACTGCCCAACTCCCGGCACCAGGGGAGATCAGACTGGCTCCCTCTACAGCCCCAAGCACGTGCCTCTAGGAGACGCACACTGCACATTAAGCCTGAGTCTGCCCCCACCTTCCAAGTCAGCCATGCAGGCCTCCCTCAGGCTGGCCTTGCCAAGAGCCCTGGCTGCCTCCTCACACTGGCGCCGGCGTGTGGGGTACTCGCTGCCTGTCAGCGTGTGCCGCACGTTGGAGTTGGTGATGAGAACAACCAGGCCAGGGTCGGTCAATGGCACCAGTTGCGTCTCCAGTGATCTGGAATGAGAGGTCACAGGGAAGCATTTCCTGATCCCTTCCTACTCCCGCATCCTGACCAGCCAGGTGTTCTTTGCTATGGCCACCCCAGGGCTGGTTTTGTGGGGGGTTGCAATAGAGAAGTCTCAACCATGTACGTACTAGAGTCAGATGCTCTAAGGAACTAATGAAAAAGTAGGGCTATACTATTGCTTCAGCCACCTGTGACTGTGGCACAGAGCCTCAGGATTATATAACACCTGCTGCAATGCTCGCTGCTTGAAGGCACACGTACAAAGAAAGACTTCACCAAGTACAATAAGCAAGCACAGGCACGTGTAACAAAATGGTCAAATGTGGCACAGAGACATTAGAAGAATACAGAAGTGATAAACATCAGGCAGAGAATGAGGGACATGAAGCCAGTTGCAAAACCGCCTAGCTTCTGTGTGCCCCACCCAGTCAGGGGAGGGGGCTATCATCTCTGCAGAACTGGTTGCAAGCCTTTTCGGGTGCCAAATTTGAGGCACCATCCTCATTCATATGGCAGCATCAGTATGAGCCCATGCGCGGGTCTTGTAGTGGGGCCTGCAGCTCACAGAACAAGAACAACCCTTGCCCTGGGAGTTTACAGCCAGCATGAGTTGCCTCTGCAGTGTGAGGCTCCTGCATCTAAGTTTTCAACCTTTCTGGAAAAGCAACTGCCACTTATCCAGTGTTTTCACAGAGCCCAGCATAGGGGGACCTGGCCCAGTTGTGGCGCTTAGAGCTGTTACCACAGTAAGTAGTAAACACCCACACTGAATTCTCCAGCTTTAGGGGCGAGTTTTGCTCACTGGTGGGTTGCTGGGAGGAGTCTTCCCTTGTAGCTACAAAGTTCCTCTCTCAGGGTTTCCTGGAGAAGAGGTGCATCATTCCCTTAGCTGCTGCAGGGAGCAGAAACCAGCAGTGCCCCCAAATCTCTGTTCATGCCTGAATGGATCAGCTCCTAGAGATTGAGGAGCACTGGGCAGCGAGAACGGTGCTGCTTCCCAAAGGTCATGGAAAGCAAGTGCTGGTGGGGAAGAGGCTGTCGAGATGAACTCCCTCAGTCCCCAGGCAAGGGCCTGCCCAGCCAGGCGAGTACTAGCAATTAACATAGCTGCATAACTGGTATGAGGAAGCAGGAGACTTGGGTTCTAGCCTGTTCAGAAAGTGCCTCCAAAATCCTCAGAAAAAAGGTGCTGGAGCAGTTCAGAGCATAGGCACTGCTGGATCCACAAGCTATGGGCTTGGTCCTACCTGCAGTCTATCAGCAACGCGTGGCCCTCCTTGCCCATCACAGAGATGAACTGGTCCATGATCCCACACGGCATGCCAGCAAAGGTGTGCTCGGCTTTCTGGCACGCCAGTGCCTTGGCTACCAAGTCCCCATCGTCTGGGCCAAATGAGGAAGAGCTATGTTAGCGTGTTGCCTGACACGGCCTCCCTCCTAGCCCAGGTGGGAGGAACGGGTTTTGTAAGACTTGTTTGATAGTAGAGTCAGCCCTGCTGCTGGCTGTTTTAAGACATCTAGAACGGCAGCCGGCAGCCCCTCCAAATCAACATCGGCAAGTTCAAGCCACAGCATTAGGGTTGAACTGATCTGAGGCGGCAGGATGGGAAGCGACTTTCCACCACACTGTCAGCTATGCCCCTACCACTAGGGAACAGGGGCAAGCTCATCTTCCTGAGGCATCACATGAACCAACTGCTATCAGAGAGACAGGGGACCAGGTCAGATGAAACAACCCAGCAACAATACACTGGACAGCACGATCTATAGACAGAACGGATGGGGAGGGTGTGAGGGCTGGGGAAGGGGCAGTGGGAAGGTACTGTTTGATCACATATGCTCCAAAGGTAAGTGCCTCCTGGGAGATGTGTATCCCCAGGCTACAGAGTTATTCTGGTGCTGTGCTGAGCTATAGCCATGAGTCTGAAGGGGTCCTGCAGGTGGGGATGACCACCAAGTAGAGAAATCCCAGCACCTCCCACTAAATGGAAGCATTTGCTAAAGTGTTTTGGGCCCAGCACAGAAACTGGATGCAGAAGACCCCAGAAGAGCGCCAGGGATATGGAGCTGGGAGTTGATGAACCGGCTGCGATGTTACCTGGGCAAAGCTGCTGCAGGAAGGTGTACGTAGCCACTTCCAGAGAGGCAGAACTGGAGAGGCCACCACCCAGCGGGACGTTGCTGGCTACCACTGCATTAAAGCCTGGGAGAGGACCAGCTACAGCAAGAACAGAAACAAGGTAAGAGAGGGACAGACATACACACACAATTTAGGTTGATGGTACCTTCTGCAGTACAGCGTGCTATGGGGGTTGCTTCCACAGGAAAAAGGAACCAGGCAGGCACAGATCAAGCAGTGTCTGGTCCAGTGTAGGCAAAGGCCTTATCCTGAGGTTCTCAGTTCAAAACATGAAAGAGCTGCTCAATATCTAGCTCTTCACCTGTCCTGCTCCCCCACCCCAGGTGTGACCTAGAGACAGACTGAGCCCTGGTGCCACACTTTGCTATTTCTTTGTGCTTTAGTTCTGACGTGGGGGAGCGAAAGGTTGTGGTACAGGAGGAATTAGCTTTAGTCAGATACAGGTCAACCCTAAATTGGTCATCTGAAGAAGCAGAAGGGCAAGGGTGCCTGGGGGGGAGGCATTGTGTGGGTGCTGGGAGAATGACTCTGTCACAGCCAACAGGTGAGAGGAGCTATGGTGGCAGGGATCAGCTGGGTTTTCCTAAGGATCAAGGCTCTATCCCAAGAGCCTGCAGGACTGTTACTGACTACACAGTGCTTGGCCCTTACCCCTGTAATGCTGGATCACGCCCTTCATGTAGTTGGCCCAGCAGGGCTCTCCTGCCCTGAGGGGGCTGCTTTCTGTTGGAGCAGGGAACTGCACCCTTTTGGGTTCATCCGCTTCCTCTGCAGCAGTGAGGATGGAAATCATTCCATCTTGGGTCGGGCTCCCAACCAGCACAGTACCTAGCTGCAGGGCCTGCAGGGGGAAGAGAGGAGTTAGCATAACCTGACTGAGGGGGAAGGAAACATGCCCCATTGCTGGGTGGTTTGGTTTTGCCTCTTCTCCTCTTACAAGAAAGTAACAGCCTTGCTGCTAAGCCTTGCAATCAAGATCCCTCCCTCCCCTCTCACCCCCCATAATCTCTACCCTGCCCAGAGACCCCATCCCCCCAGCCTGCACAGGACTAGAACTACACAAAGCCACAGTGATGCTGCTCTGTGTGTGTTACTACCTGGCCAGAATTTCACCCCCTTAACTGGTTTGTTCACGCACAAGAACAGTCCTTACATAAAACCTCGGTCAAGCAGAAAGAGCTGAACCCCCAGCCCAGATCAGGGGCATCTCAGGGCCAACACTAGGGTATGCCAACTGCTTGCTGGCCTGTATGAAACAAATAGAACGGCTTCAGCTCAGTGCTTCAGGAAGGGGACATCACAGAATAAAAAGCCTTTTCCATGGTAAAGACTCCCCAACGAGTGAGCTTGCTCCTGCGGGAGCACTGCCACCAGCTTTTTATCCTCTTGCTACTGCCAAAGCTAGCTCCAGATAAGAGAAAGTTCATGCAGTCCAGGCATCCTGCAGTCAGTGAGGAGTAGAAGATGCCATCTGCACAAAGAGTTTTACCAATTACAAGCAAAAGGAGCACAAATGGCAGAATCTGCATAACAAGAGACTGAGAGCTCATCTGTTACCTACAGGCAGGGAAAGGTAGGGCAGCTCCTCTGTGACTGTTTACTCAGGAATGTAAAACTCCTTGAGAGCAGCAATCTTGCTGCTCAGCCCAGACAGGACTATCACTGCAGGCCAAGATTTCCAAAGACTAAAGTTAATTTAAGTGCTTTGAAGGTGGTTCCTGATTCCACAGTCAAGCAGCCTGGCTTTCAGGTGTGCCAAGTCGTATGGTGGGGAGGAAAGAGATGAAAAAGCCCAATTATTTCAGATGTCCTAACTAGGAAATGAGGAACTTGTCCCCCATGCTTTTGCACGGCTTGGGCTCCAGGTGTTTTCCCTGCTGTGGCCACAAGGTAGCACTCCAGGCCTACTTGCCAACACTAGCTCCATTTCCCCAGAAAGGCAGGAAGATGGTGCAAGTTGCCAATGAGATGGAGTTCTCCTTTGGGGAAAGTTGCTCCAGTTCAACTTCAGAGACCTCCCCACTCCCATCCCCAGGCGACCTGGCAGCCCTGATGCTGCATGGCAAGACCACCCCCCAAGAGAGGCCTCACACAAGGTCCTGAGCAGCTTATTGAGGGGCGATGATAATGCTTTCCCAAGTCTAGCCAGGGGAGCAAGGGCCTGAGAAGCAGGCAACTTGGTGCTTCTGGCGCAGGGGTAAAGCTAAGGCAAGGCTGCAGCAGGCTGGGAGCAGTGGAGCTGCGACCCTGGTCCTGTCATTGCTAAGCTGGGTGCTCTGATCCTCCGAGAAAGCCTCATCTTGGCGGGCACCGGCCGCACGCCTGCACCAGGGAGCTCCAGCTCGGAGCTGGCTGCATACCAGCGGCACCTACAGCCACAGAGGCAGGTCTCCAGAGGCAGCTGCAGCAGCCAAGGCTCCCGCCCAGCCCTCTGGAAACCACACGGTCGCCCCGCGAGGAGGGAAGGGGTCCCCGGCGATTCCCTTGCGGAGCCGGCGTACGTGCCGAATGCAGCCCAAGCGGCTCTCGGGTAGTGCCCCGAGCCGGGCGCCCCCACTCACCATCGGCAGCACGTAGCCCTGGTTGTAGTCGGTGTGCTCCCCGATCAGGTTCACCCTGCCCGGGGCCGACACCGCGATCTCGGGGGCCGCCCCTCCGAAAGCCTCTCTGTACATCTCCCCAGCGGCCGCCAGCAGCAAGTCGAGCTCAGCCGCCCCCGGCTCGGCCATGTCGCGACAGGACCCGGAGCGGGGCAGGCACGACCCCCACCCTGGCGCGGACGCGGGCTTGATGTTGCAAGGTTCCAAAATGGAACGTTCTGTGGCAGCTTCCTTCCGGCTCGGCCTAGCCCCGCCCTGAAGGTGGCTTATGTCCTCTGATGGGCTTGCTAATCAGCCCCGAGCCTGCCCAGCCACATCAGGCTGCGGGAATAAAGAGGAGCTGTACGACCCCATTTACTCTACTTCCGAGGATCCCTAAGGCAGCCCAGCGCGGGGCAGGGGCGCCGGGATCTACATTGTTGAAAGAAGATTTTCCCTCTCTCGGGTGCTCCAGGTGCCATGGAGATTCCTGTGCCTTAGTTCATGCTCTCCCAGTCCGGGGGGGGGGGGGGGGGGGGGGGG